AGCCACGGGTGTTGAGCCAGGATAGCTAAGCATGGTCAGAGACCAGGGCTGAGGGAGAAATAAAGACCGGAGAGCTTGGTGGCGAGACCTGCGGTGGGCAAGTCAGGTGTCTTGGGGTTGGAAGAACGACTTTGAATGTCATCCACATCACCCACTGGAGTTATGCCTCAGCGGTGGGACCCTCCCCGCAGCAGGACTTCTTATGGCTCAGCGGGGCTACGGTGGTCTGTGGCCGTGGGAAGATTATAGACCTCTAAAGCTGGAAGGACCTCTCTCTCGGGACTCTTGACTTCATGGTGCATGGTGCTGGGCTAGGCCGTCTCTGACATCCGCGACAGCTTCCCAAGGCTTCTGCTAGTTTGTGATAGGATCTCAAGACTGGTTTTGAACTCTCTACACAGCTTGGACTTCTGACCTTCCAGCCTCCACCTCCAGAGTTGTGATTGCAAGTGTGAATCCCTCCCCCACTCCACCCCCCAACCCCTCAGGGGTGGGTTTCTTCCTGTGTTAAGTCTCAACTCTTCTTACATGTGCTGACACACATTTTCCAGGTGAGGAGACACATCTGAATACCAGTCCTTCCGACTCAATGTCCCTCTCTGGCTTTAGAACTCATGTGACTCTCTGGTTACTCAGGCTCCCTCCGACAGAGGAAGGCTCTATGGAGTTCAAAGTGACATTAGATCTCCTGGAAATGAAGCCAGGCAGTGGTGGCACACACCTATAATCCCAGCACCCAGGAGGCAGAGGCAGCCGGATCTCAGTAAGTTTGAGGCCAGCCTGGTCTACAGAGCGAGTTCCAGGACAGGCTCCAAAGCAATACAGAGGAAACCTTGTCTCGGGAAAAAAAAACTCTTGGAACTGGAGTTACAGTTGGTTGTAAGCTGCTCGAGGTGGGTGCTGGGAACCCAACTCTGGTCCTCTGGAAGAACAGCATGTGCTATTAATCCCCATCTCTAGATGCTTCTAAGTCAGCGTTCATACCCACCAATGCCTGCTAACAGCACATCCTGGACGACAGTGGACTTCCTCTAATCCCCTGGCTTTACCATCTCCCCTCGTTTCTGTTGAAGCTCCGTGATCCATCAGAATCCAACCTGCTGCACTGGTCAAAAGCTGGGAGTGTTCGCTACCTCCTGCCCACACTCCCTGCCTCCCACCCACATTCCCACCACACTGGCAACTCTGTGTGTTAGCTACAGGACAGAGAGCAGAGGGCCCACCCGCTTACCTCCCCTCAGCCTCCGTTCTTTCTCACCTGCACAGGTTGCACAGCACATAAACTGGTCTCTCTGCTTTCCAGGCTCTCGCAACCCCCTGCCGCCCCATGCCAAGCCCATCCTGCATGTATACTCTTGAAACTCAAAACAACACATTGTCAAAATCCACCTAAGTCCTGGATGGAATTTTAATAAGTTCTAAATGTCCCTAGGCAATTAGCATCTAGGCCTCACACATCCTTACTGCCCATCACCTCCTCTGCCTCAGCCCCGTGCTCCTTTGGTCTGCTTAGCATGGTTGGTGCCTTCCTACCTCAGGGACTTTGTTGTTGCTCTTCCCTCGCCCAGAACACTTGGCATCACCCTGCCCACGCCATCTCTGCAGTTACCATCTCTGCACTATTCTCTTCCTGTCTCTGTCCGTACTCTTCTCCTTCCCATGTCTTATTTTAAACTGTAACGCTTTATGTGTCTACTTCCCTGAGCTCTCTTTTACACACACCCATGCGTGTCTGAGCATTAGGCACCATTACTGCTTAATGTCCTTCATGATTTGTTTACTTACTTTCTTATTCAGAATACAAATCTGTCTCCAACAACTTGAGTGTTGACTCTGATAAGGACAATGTTCACCTTGAGCCCATGCCCCCTTGGTGAGAACCCTGTAGAGGAAAGGGATACATATCCCAGGGGTTGCATGAGGGCAGGGACCTTGCCTATCTGGTCCACTGCTGAATCTCCAGTACCTAATCTGGTTACTGGTGTGTGTGTGTGTGTGTGTGTGTGTGTGTGTGTGTGTGTGTGTGTGTGTGAGAGTGTGTATGTGTGTGAGTGTGTGTGTGTGTGTGTGATGGGTTTCTATGGAGCAGGCTGAATGGAGCAGGCAGATTATCTTGAAACCTAATTCTAGGATTTCTGCATTCTTTCTTTCTCTCTAGATATGGAATTTGTCTCATTACTCAGCTCTGAGACAGTACACAGCTGGAAAAGGCCGTGAAATAAGAGCTGGGGAAGTCTATCTCCTGGTCAAGTCCCTGCTAGGAGATAATGCTTCTGAACTCAGGGCAAAGAATACTAGAAGTAGGTAGATCTGCCATCACTTAAAAAGAAAGAAAGAAAGAAAGGAAGAAAGAAAGAAAGGAAGAAAGAAAAGAGTACAGGGTCCTTTGTGTTTCACAGCAGGGCTGTTTCTCAAAGCCTGGCTTCCTGGAGTTACCTGACTCTTGCCCCAGCAAGCTGCTGTCCTCTCAGAGAGCCCCCAGCATCTGCTAAGCCACCTGAGCGGGACATCTGCTTTGTCTACTTATTAGGAGGGGTGCCTCTTGTGTTTATATTGTCTTTTTAAAAAAAAGATTGATTTGTGTGTGTGGAGGGGGGACTGAATTCAGAGGCCAGAAGAGGGCATCAGATCTTCTGGAGCTGGAGTTATGGGATGTCGTCAAGCACCTGATGTGGGTGTTTAGGACTAAGCTCAGGTCCTCTGCAAGGGCAGCACATGCCCTCAGTGTGCGAGGCTCTCTCAAACCCTATTTATATAATCTTTGAACCCACACCATTTTTAAAGTCCAACACACTCAGTGTCAGTGGGATTCTCAACTCCTGGCGAGAGGTTCTTGATGCTTTTGTACCTGTTCTCATCACACTTAAGTCCTCCACACTCTAGTTCAGACCCGCAGCCTACGTGGGGCCCCAGGCTTAGTCTCCTTGGACCCTTCTGTTTTGGGACAGGGTCTCACGTAGCCAGGCTGGCCTCCACCTTACTGTGTAGATGAGGATAACCTTAAACTCATGATCCTCCTGCTTGCTGGGATCACAGCTGTGTGGACCACCACCCTGGTTTATGCAGGCTGGGGATGGAGACCAGGGCTCCACACATGCTAAACAAGCAATCTACCCACGGAGCCACATCCACAGCCTAGCCCTGTGTGCTTTGAGCTTTTTCTGGGGAGCCCTGTCCCCATCTAGGGCAGCATCTTACCTCCTGTGCCTGAAACATCGTCCCTCAAGGGGACAAGTGCCTCCTGAGTTGGGGACCATTCTACCAGCGAGTTTCTCTCGTTCACCCCTTCCCTGGCCTGAGTGTTACTCAGCTCCTGGGTCTTGGTTTAAACATCACCTCCGCATTCTATGACACACCACACTCAGCTGGGTGCCCCACCTCTAGGCTCCCTGTCCTTCTGAACCCTCACAGTGGTACCAGTGGCATGTAACCCTCCTCCGGTCTGGACTTGTCAGTGCGTGCACTTGCCACCAGAGGGAGAGCCCACTGGGGGCAGGGGCCAGAGCTGACTCAGTTATTTCCTCACCATCCTAGGCTGGGCAGATCTGGGAGCTGTCAGGAAATGTCTGCAATCATGATCCTTATCTTTCCCCACTGGGAGAGCTTCAGGGGCTTGCCTCTGCATCTCCTGCCTGCCCCTCACGCTCTCCCCTCTGTCTCCTCTGGCCTGTCCTCCAGTCTCAGATTTCAGGCTAGCCATTCCTTCTGCCGTGGACACTTTGCTGTAGTCAGCAAAGCACGCTGCCCTACTTTACATGGTTCTGTGCTGGGGCAGGGCTGTTTCCTGAATCCACCCTTCTCTGCTTAAATGGGCAGGACACAATCCCCACTGACTGCTGCGGCATACTGTGCCCTCCCCTCCCTCCCCTCTTCTTTTCAGTTCTTCCCACCTCTCTCCTTCTCTGGCCTCCCTCTATCTTCCTGGCCCCTTTCTTTTCCTCCTCTGGCCTTTAGGTTCTGTCCTGAGCGGCTTCTGCAGCTAGCTGCATCTCAGGTCCCATGATCAGAGACTGAGCAAGGCATGGACACAAGCATCTTTGTGCAAACTCCTCTAGTTCCAGGGCTCGCCAGATTTTGAAGGTTAGTGCTATCTGGGCCTGGGCTAGAAACCCAGCTTTGGAGTCAAGGCCACCTGGTGCGCACATGTGGTCACGGCGCCCTCCTGTGGCCACATCTGAGTACAGCACCTTTCTCACCCGGGATGAGGGCAAAGCCCCCCAGGGACGCTCCCGAAATAAGAGGTGCCCTGTCGTGCACGCGTCAGGAAACAGGACCAAGAGCCCCTGCCCCCTCCCCGAGTCACTGCTATGTGACTCTGGGAAAGTTACTTACTTGGCTGGGTTACATGTTCATCTACCATAAACGAGAATTAAACACACGTTACTCTCATATTACTGCTCTATCAAGGGAGGAACGCCCTCTTGGCACCAGGCCAGCCCTACAAACGCACAAGCTTGGAGCAGTACAATCTGGAGCGTCTTCAGATCCACCTTCCCCGCCCCCAGCCCCCTTCCTATCCACAGCGGCTTCTCTTTACAGCAGCCAAGGGATTTTTAGAAAGTGGTCGTTGGACGGACTCCCGGAATAATAGCCCTGGCCTTCATTGTTAGAATAAAACCCAAGGATTCCACACACCTGGTCCAGCTCCGATCTGGTTAATGGGAACCCCTCCTCTGATCCCTGGAAGGAATCATGGTTATTCCCATGCCCTAGCTGCTGAATTGGCAGTTCCCTCCTCCAGAGGGAGCTCTTCCCCAAGGAACTTTTGAGAGTGCCTGCTCAAAGGCTATCTTCCCAGAGGCCTTTCCTTCACTGGCTTCTTCCTCCTTTCCTCTATTCTACTTAAAACCTTTGTGCTGGAGATGTAGCTGAGAGATAGACTGTCAGAATCCCCAGGAGGTGGTCGAGCCCCTGCCTAGCTTCCCCAGTGAGTAAATGGGGGTGTGGCTCAACATGTTAGGCTCTTCGTTCAGTTGCCACCATTGAAAAAGAAAAAAAGCGACAGTCACAACCACCTGATATTTATTTGCATGCTGTCCTTTCCTCCCAGGCTGTAAATGCCTGGCAGGAGAGGCTCCTGCTTCTGCTCATTGCAGCTTCCCGGCACCTAGAGGACCAGACAAAGGAATGCCCAATATTTGCTGAATGAATAATTGGCATGGTGTTTAATAGCCCCAAGGGCACCTGAAGGAGGCAGGGCATCCACTCGGCCTTTCAGACCTAACTTAATTAGGAAAATGGGTACCTATTAAGTTAAGAAGTCAACAGGTTACTTCCATAAGGACAGGACCAGAGGCTAAGAAGCACTCTCTGCCCAAGGTTAGGGAAGGATCAGGGAAGGCTTCTAGTACTCTACCACAGGAGACAGTTAGCTCTTGAGGAGCCAGGTCACCCCTGGAGGTGGGACTGACATCCCCAAGTCTCTTCTCAGCCTCTCAATTTCCTATATGGCAGGGCAGCACCCTGAAGTCTGGAGCCCCCTGGTGGCCAGTCCTTACTATGCAGAGCCAAGCTGGACATGGTTGGCCAACTACTTTGATCCCTGGAGGGAGTCTCCTCTCTGCAGAGATGTGATGGGGTGAAGGCAAGCCAGTTCTATTTTCACAGGAAGAAATGACAGACTGGATAGGTTAAGGCAGGGTACAGCCCCTCCACGGGGCAGTCATGGGTAGCTCTGGAAGGACAGGGCATTGCAGGGCAGTCATTTCACAGGCACAGGCCACTGCAGAGTACACTCACTTCCCAGTGCACAGGGCAATGTAGAGTGCAGTGCTGAGGTCACTCCGTGGGGCTAAGGTCACTTTGCAGGACACAGGTGGCTCCTGCTGGGTCCCCTCCATCCCCGCAAAGGGTGGCTCCATCTTTGGATTGCTCACAGGTACAGGGTCCCCGTGGGGCCAGGGGGTCACTGGTGGCCTGACTCGGGTTCACGGGCAGTGGCCGCTTGGCTTGCAACACGCGGCGGCCCTTGCCGATGGCCAGGCGTGGCAGGCCTCGGTTGAGGCCATCCAGGAGTGCACAGGCCTGGCAGAGGGTATGGCTGGCTAGCGCCCCGCAGCGGGAACAGGTGCCTGGAGGAGGGGGCCGAGCCGTCGGGGCAAGAGCCAGGCGCTCCGCTGAGTGCACGAGGTCCAGCACTGCGGATGGCCGCACCGCCTCCAGGCGCTTGAGCAGGTCGCGAGCGTGACCCCGGAAAGCCTCGGGCGCATACACACACTCCTCCGAGAAGTAGCGCAGGCGGCGGAAGTGCGCGTACAGCACCACCTCCTTCTGCGAAGCGAACTGCAGCGGCCGGCACCGCGGGAGAGCGCACCCCTCTCCAGCTGAGCCCAGCACTCCGCCCCGCGCCAGCCGCCCCGCATCACCGCGTAGGAAATTCATGAGCACTGTCTCCGCCATGTCGTCGGCATTGTGACCTGTGGGAGAGAGCTCGGGTAAAGGATAGGGACAGAGAGGAGAGGGGAGGGGAGGGTGCGGCAAGAACCGCTGGAGAGGGAAAGTGGAGAAGAGGCCCACCATAGGGAACCCCTGGACCAGAAGACTGAGGAGAGGATCCCGTAGAGATCCTCAGTAATAAGACAATGTAGAAGGGACCATAAAGTGGGGACCAGGAGAGTGGAGGGAGGCGTGGGGACACCCAGTACCCAGGGAGAAGAAGAGGTGGTGGAGACACCATGCCATCCACTTCCTCGCTCGCTACACTACCCCATCACGTCCTTCCTGCGCTCACCTGTCACGATGTGTGTAGCTCCCACGAGGCGCGCGCCCTCCTCCAGTGCGCGCCGCCGCAGCACCCCGCAGAAGGTGCAGCAGGAGCGGCTTCGGCCAGAGCCGGCAGTGCTGCGGGCCACGGCATCCATCGTCCAGCCCCCGAACAGGTCTGCATAGGCCACAACCGTGAGCGGCAGCTCCCAGCGCGCTGCCTGGCTGCTCACGGCCTCCAGCGCTGCATCGCGGTAGCCGCCGATGCCCTCGTCCACGGCCACCAGGTGTAGCGTGATGCCCAGGCGTGGCGCAAGCTCGCGCAGCACGTGTGCCAGTACTGTGGAGTCCTTGCCGCCCGAAGCGCCCACAGCCACCACGGCGCCCGGGGGCAGCAGACTACCTGCCAGCACGGTGTGCAGCACTTCGGCCTCAAAGGCTGCACAGAAGCAGGAGCCGCATAGCGCCTGCCCCGAGCGCGGGCGGCGGAGGGCAGCGCGGGCTGCCTGGCAGGAGGAGCACGTTGGGGCGGGCATCGTAGTAGGAAGAGAAGTGGGTCGCTTGGGATATCCACACTGCGGAGGAAAGAGTTGGAGATCATTTGGGGCTTCTACATTGCAGGGCTTATGGGAGAGAAGAGGGGTCACAAGAGATATATCCACACTGCGGGGCTAATGGAGAGAGGAGGGAGGCTGGTCACCCAGGATGTGTGCTGAGGGTGGAAAGACGCAGGTCGCATGGACAGTCTTTGCTGTCGGGATGCTGCGGAAATGGTGTCCTGCCCAGAGTGGCACAAGCACAGGGGAGCCCAAGGGAAGGGCAGCTTCTTTCTGAACCAAGAAATAAGGACCTGATGATGTGGTTTCTGGGGTGAGGGGCAGAGAAGAAGACATGCAAGAAGCGGGGTGCATTTAAGGACCAGCTGCACAGTTTTGAGGTCACTATTGTTACAGCCTTGATCATGGAGACAAGGTGGGTGTCACTGACCTTGACTTCCAGGGCTGAGCAGAACCCGGAAGAGCCTGCTATTCAGAGGCAGAGGGCTAGAGATGTTTGGATTTTAGTAGGGGTCCTAGGATACAGACACGCCCCTTCCTGATTGCATCCCCTAAAAGGCATAGCGCCTCCTCCTGTAGGCACACAGAAGCTGCAAGCGCCACTCTAGGTTACCAGCTGTGCTGAACCAATAAAAACTCTCCAGGCTCAGTCCTCTCCGCCAGACCACCGCATCTCCAGCTTGGATTACTTATCCAGTAGCTTCCTGACATTATGAGCAGGGACGGCTACCCTGGGATTTACCATAATGATCAGAATTACCTGGCAGCTGCGGGTTTACAAGACCAGTGCCACTCAGCCTTCAACCCCCACATCCCCGGTTCCTTTCACCAAATGTGTTCTGCTGCGAAGCGAAGCTCTGCCCTTTCAGGAGCTCAGACTAGATGCTCTGGGGCCTAGGACCACCCTGATCATTTACTCATGCAAAGTCCAGTCTTGACTTGCTTTCCAAACGTCCCTAACCCAATCTCAGAACTCATGCTAAAGTTTCCTAAAAGAGTACTTCCCACCTACTTCCCTAGCGTGCTTGTCTGGGTCACTGGTCTCTCTGCCTTGACCTCTCTGCCTTTACACTCACTGTTTTGCACGTAGCAATCAGCAGATCTGGCTCAGTTTTCTTTTCCACATTGTTCTGTCAGCGCTTGCTGACTGACAGCCCGTGAGGCCTTGTGGCTCCTCCCCCCTACTCTCAACTATCCGGGAACACCACTCTCTTTTGGCCCAAAGAGTTCTTTCCTATTGCTGAGCCCGGCAAGCAGCTCTCAGAACTCATTTCGTCCCTCGTGGCTGGACATTGCTCCTTGAAATATTTCCTTCCCAGCCGTGATTCCCTCCTCCCTTTTGCCTGGATTATGTCCCCAATCAGTGTCTCACCGTTTCATTTCCTCAAGCCCTACCCAGCAAGCCTCCAGGTTCGACTTCCAATTGGCCCACTGAATATCCTTGCAGGAAACCTTTCAGACGCCAACTGTCCCTAAAATCTGACCTGCCTGGCATCTGTCTCCCGAGAGTGGCCACCACCTTCTGCCTAGCATTTACTCAGAATGGGGTGCAAAGTAACTCTGTCCTCAGTCATCTGCCCCCAGAAGTGTTTGCTGTTGTGAGGAGTAGCTTACAGGCACCGGCAGAACAGGAGGCCGAGAGACCACATTGGCAGTCCTGAGCTGATGGAGCGAACCAGGCTGAAGCTAATAAACATAAGGGAGGAGGGGGAAATTGTGTACAGACAGGCTGCAAGCCCCAGAGGTAATACCAGGCATGGTGGCACAAGCCTTTAATCCCAGGATTCAGTAGGCAGAGAGCGGAATTTCTGCAAAGTCTAAACTAGCCTGGTTTACATAGCGAGTTCCACGCCATCCAGGGCAACGTGGTGAAATCTCGTCTAAAAACAAAAACAAACACAACAAACAAAAAACCCGAGAGGCGCCTCCGGTGACCAACTTTCCTAAAGGGCAGAGAAGGGGTCTCCAAAACACAAGAGAAACAAGATAAGGCAGATGATCTGTCACCACTAAGGGAACAGGGAGGCCTGGCAAGAGATTGGATTAGAGGGGAATCCTGGCCCAGAGCACGAGTTGGCCATCATAAAAGCGGGTGTTAAATTCCTAGAGAGACTTTCAACTCAAACCCGAGCTCGCTCGATTCAGAGCAAGAGGAACACTAACCTGGGTGGAATGGGCTCTGCACTGTGCCTGCCACGCGGAAGCCTGGAGCGGAAGTTGTCCTGAGACTACAACTCCCACAAGGCCTTGGACTTCCAGAAAGCAACAGCTCCAGCAGAGCGCCTATAACTCTACAACAGCTTGGACTACAATTCCCAGCAACACTCGAAGGCACGGCTTTCCTTCAGCCTACCGCTCCCAGAATGCAGTGCTCCAGAAGGTGCACAAGAGGGCATGGAAATGCAGCAGCTGGTACTGCTGTTGCCCTGGAAACGCTAGGTCACCAGACGCGATGCTTGAAATCAGAAGTGGCTGCGGTCTAATTTCCTAGTTTAATTTCCTAGTTTTGCGATTTACTATACGCTATTGCTGCTTTTTTTTTTTTTTGAATATAGACCTCGCCTACATAAACCAGGCTGGCCTTGAATTCACAGACCCACTTGCTACTGGCTCCAGAATGCTAAGATTAAAGGCATATGCCACCTTGCCCTTTCCATCTTCTTTCTATTTTCTTTTTCTTCAGAAAGATGGGAGGAGTCCAGATGACACACAGCTATGCAAGCTATTTATACACACACACACACACACACACACACACACACGTACATTATACGTCAGCTAATTGTTTTCGTGTGTGTGTTTAATGCCACCCAGAACCTGGCCCAGGAGATGCCTCATCCCGACTTTAGACTCAAGCATTTTGTCTTAAAGGGTCCTCCAAGACCTCCTGGCCCCGCGAGAAAGCGAGGGAGAACATCCAAAGAGCCTGAGAGCAGAAACATTGCGTCCTTGAGAATAGAAGGAAAGTAAATTGTCAAAGAAAGATATCACATCCTTGGACACAGACGGGATGTGAGCCATTCTCCCGTACGTCCACACTGCTCATCCCGTGTGATGTAAAACTAAAAAGATCTGTTGTGGGAATGGCTAATTGGGAGACAGGCCTGCCTGGGACCCTCTTCTTCAGCCCAATGCTCCTGCTCACTGTTGTGGTTCCCGGCCCCCCCCCCAGTCTGTTTTTTTTTTTTTTTTTTTTTTTTTTTGTCACATGTCTGGATGTTTGTCACATGTCTCATCTGGTGCCCATTATCTCCCTGCAGTCTGCTGCACTTGAAATGAAAAGCATTACCATCGTGGGTCATCCTCCAGTCTGAGACAGCTCTCTACACCACTGAACCACACTCCAGTATTCTAAGAGCGACTCTACCATTTAGCCACATCCCAGACTCTCACTGGGGAATTCTAAGTGGGTGCTTTACCCCGGAGCTATGCTCCCAGCGCCTCACTGTGGAGATTCTAGGCAGATGTTTTAACACAGTCATGCCCAAAAGCTCCTCACTGATGGATACTAGGCAAGCACTCTTCTACTGAGTTGTGGCCTCAGCATGCACCACTTCTTCTTCTTCTTCTTCTTCTTCTTCTTCTTCTTCTTCTTCTTCTTCTTCTTCTTCTTCTTCTTCTTCTTCTCCTTTTTCTTTTTCTTTTTTTTAACAGGGTCTCAGTATGTGGTACATGCAGACATCAAACTTACAATCCTTGTGTCTCTGTCCTCCAAGTAGCTAGATTACAGCTTCGAGCTACAAGGCTGGGTTCAGCTGGGTTGTAGATAAACCTAAACCAACCTTCCAGATGCTGTGACCCTTTAATACAGTTCCTTACGTTGTGGTGAGCCTCAACCATGAAATTATTTTTGTTACTACTTCATATCTGTAATGTAAATATCTGTGTTTTCTGATTGTCGTGGGTGACCCCTGTGAAAGCGTCATTTGACCCAAAGGAGTCACGAACCACGAGATGAGAAAGGGTCATCTAGAACTTGGGGATGGTGTTTCAGCACCATAGACAGAGCCAGCCCAGTTGTCTGGCCAGTTCACTGTCCTGTGGCACTGTGTGTCAACCCCTCTTTATCAGCACCCCAGACAAATTGGTTTCAGATAGGTAAGGGAGGAAGGAGAGACTTCACCACTGCAGAAAACCAAGTACCAGTGCAGACATCTGGCCCTGGGGGAGCATGTGTCCAAGTACTTGGCAGACTGCTTTCTGGATTGGATATGGTTGTATAAAATGAAAAGCTCAAGGACACCCAGAACTCTAGCCTAGAGACTCAAAGGAGAGATCATGAGTTGGCACACCTAGAGCTTAGTTGTTCTGGGTACCTGAACAAGGAAAGGAGGAAAGGAGCCCAGGTCTGTTTGGCGTGTTTATGGCTCCATGCCCTAATTTGCTTCCTAGTAGCTGTGATAAACTACTGATCAAAATTAACTTGCGTTTATTTACTCTACATACCACAGTCCATCATCAAGGGGAGTCATGGCAGGAACTGAAGTCAGGAGCTGGAAGCCGAAACCTCACTCTACTTATTGTTACTTCCAGGTTCCAATTTAACTACCTTTCTTATATTGGGAGGACCACTTTTCCAGGAGTGGTACCCACATCAAGCTGAGTGCTCCCACATCAATAAGATCCCACACAGGCTAATCTGACTGAGGCAATTTCTCGGTTGAAGTTCCTTTTTCGTATGTGTCACAAGTTGATAACCTAGCTTAGCCATCACACCAAAGGAGGGACTGCTGACATTTGTTCACCAGTCACTTAAGTAGAAATGATCACATTTCTGTCCCATGGGAGCTGGGGATAGCCCTCATCTGATCGAATGCTTAGCCATGGGTTCAGTTCCCAGAACTACATAAACCACATGTGGTTGTAATGCCTGTAATCTCACCACTTGGGATGTGGAAAAATTCAAGAGTGGTCCCACAGTGAGTTTGAGGTCTGCCTTCATTATGTGGAGCCTTGTCTTAACCCTCCAGTATATAAAGGTTAAAGGTAATCCATTCAGTAAGTGTGCAGAAACATCACTTAGGAAAGTAAAGTCTCATCTTACTTTTCTCTATTAGTCATGGTTCCTGTGGGCTACTGCTTTGTTCACCCTTTGCTGAGCATCGGGACGTATTTGTCTTTTAACTGGTTTAAACCGGCAAGGCTGTGTCTGCCACTTCCACTTCTGTCCTGGCTCTTTTAAAAAGTTACACTTGAGATGGGGAACTTTGCTGGGTTCGGTTGTATGACCTCAAGCACTCACCCGCTGTCTTAGTTAGGGTTTCTCCTGCAACACCACCATGGCTGTTGCAGGCTATTTGATCACACTGGAAAAATCTGCTCCTAGTTGTGGTGTGGCTCAACCCTAGCACATGCCTTATTCCAAGAGCTTTCTGCTTGAATATTGTAAACAGGATTAAATTTAAAAATGTCAACCATAGGTCAAGAGGCAGAACAAGCAACCAGTTGACAGGAAGTGAACATAGGCAAGAAGTCACAGAGAGCGAGAGGGAGTCAGGAGGATGGCCAGAGAGACTCACAGGAAGTAGAAGGTGGAAGGGAAGGACACTGAGCTTGAAGAGGTTGTTTGGAGATGGTGTAAGAGAAGAAAGGCTTCTGGCTGTCAGTCGAGGAGGAAGGTTAGCTAGGTGCTAGCTAGGTGCTTTCTCTGCCTCTATGAGCTAGCAGGCTTTCACTCCAGCATTGGATCCCAAGTCTTTATTGATGAAATCAAATGATTGAGATTTTGTTAAAAGCAACTCTTATAAAGGAAAACATTTGATGGAGGTGGTGATGGGAGATGTCATTCTGTAAATACATTTCTCTTATTGATTAATGAATAAAGCAGTGTTGGCAAATAGGAATGGAAGATAGGTGGGACTAGGAGACAAAGAGGATTCTGGGAGTTGTAGGGAAGGAGAGTCAAGATATATGGGCTTGAGAGAAGAGGTCCGGACACTCTCTCCGGTAAGGTGAGACCATGTGGAAATACTTAGATTAATAGAAATGGGTTAATATTTAAGACAGAGCTAGCCAATAAGAAACTCTAGTAACTGGCCAACAGCTTTATATCTAATACAGTGTCACTGTGTGTTATTTGGGGACTGATGTGGCTCTGGGACCAGGCTGGTGGCAAACTGCTTGTAACAGGGTGGCTTACAGTCTCGGAGGTTCAGAACATTGTCATCAACTAATCAAAACAACCCCATAGGCACACCCAGAGGCCCATTTCCTACGTCATCTTAGATCTTGCTAAACTGGTCATTGAAATTAACCATCACAGAGCCTATTCAGAAAGTAAGGTGCAGAGTGACAGAAGAAGATGCCCAAAGTAGAGCTCTGGATCTTATATGTGCATGCACAGGCAAGTGCACCCCTCAGCACACTTAGCTCTCTCCATACACAAGAACCTACCTGTTTTTACCATAGCTTTAGGGATGAGGACCTCAACATGTGTGTTTTGGAGGGATCAGATGCGGACCTTAGCGCTTGCATTCTGGAATTCAGTGTCTTCTGAAAATGGGGAAGTGTCACCATAGGTCTCAATTCTCATGGGTAGTGTGTGTCATAAGTTCCTTTCTTGGACGCATATTCTCTGAGTTCTCTTATTCTGTCCTGATTTCTTTACAAACAGGAGACAAAAGGGAACCACATGGGGCAATGGCCCAGCTCTCCTGACCACTGAGTTGCTGCAATTTCTGCTAACTAAGAGGGAGTGTTTGGGCAAGGCAGGGTAAAGGTTGGTTGCCAGTTGAAAATGCAGAAAGTGGTGTTTGTGTACTCTTGTGCATGGGAGACAGAGAAAGAGAGAGATTGTTAGTCCATGATGGTGGCCAGACATGCCTAAGCTCATATGTATTGGTCAAGATTCTCTCAAGGAACAGGATTTATAGAATGCATATATAATATATTTTTATATATATCATTGTATACCTATATACTATTTATTAAAATTATGTACAGGCTGTGGTTCAGCTAGTCCAACAATGACTATCTATTAAACAGAAGGTCAAAAAACCCAGTAGTTGTTCAGTCCACAAGGTTTAGTGTCTGAACTGGTCTTCTATGCTGGAATCCTGAAGAAGTGGGCTATAAATTCAGCAGCAGAAGGTGTGGTCCAGATTAAAGGTGGATCTCCCCACCTCAAAAGATCTGGACTAAAGGCAAATCTTCTTTACTAAAAAGATTCAAGTTAAAAGTGGGTCTTCCCTGAGCTAGGCTGCCTAAACGTGGGTGTCAGCTGCAGGGCTTGGCCAGTCTATGGGGCTGCTAGCAGTGGAGCCAGTATGTATCCCTAGGGCATGAATGGACATTTGGGAGCCCAGTCCCTATGCAGGGATACTCTCTCAGACTAGATACACAGGGGAGGGCCTAGGTCCTGCCCCAAATGATGTGACAGACTCTGATGATCCCCCGTGGGAGGCCTCACCCTCCCTGAGGAGCAGATAGGGGTGGGATGGGGAAATGGTGGGGGAAATGGGACAGAGAGGAAACTGGGATTGGTATGTAAAATAAGAGCGTTTTTAATTTAAACAAAATTTAATTTGAAAAATGATGTGTGGGTGGCTCACAGGTATGCTCATCCACTTGGGTTTTAGTTAATTTCAGATGCAGTCAAGTTAACAAGAAAGAGTAGCCATCACGGGGAGCAAATATAGAAACAGGGGAGGAAATGTGTGAATGGCCCTGGAGGGCTCACAATGGACAGTTTCTTGGAGACATTAAATTTCTGGTATATCTCTGGGCTGCTTTTATGGTTGTAAATAAATATAAATACAGTGTATTTTTCCCTATCTGAGATGTTTCAAGGAAAACCGACACTAGTTGAAAGAGGCTCAAACTCTTAGGATTATTTCCATTCCCTTCTACCTCCCACCACAAATTAATCAGTCTTCTTCTAGGAATTGCTGGTCATTCCTGAGGGTGGACAATGAAAGGCTGGCATTCCTCACTTCACTTCCTCTGTTTACATGAATCCCTGGTGGGCAGGGGACCCTGAGCAAACAAGCCGTCTCTGGAGCAAGGGGACAGTAAGAGACAGCAGCAAGGCACGACTCAGCAGCACAGAGCCTGTCTGGCTGGGGTGTGGCTCAGGGGTAGAGCATTTGCCTAATGTGAATAATCCTGAATTCCATCTCCAACAAGAAATCCATCCTCGAACAAGGAAGGGAATTTTGCCTTTTCCAAAAATCTGTGTTATTATAGTTTTCAAGGCCAATTCTTGCGTGCTAGTAACCCCAACACCCCGGCTTGGCCGCATTCACCCTCTTTACACCAACACGAGAAAGAGGGAGATCTAAGGTAACGTGGTCACACTGGGAAGAGAAACAATAAAGGGTTTCCGTGACCCTCACGTCCATCTTCAGGGTTTGGTTGAGGTTTAATCAGGGGCAAGAGCCATGGATAACTGAGCAGTTCTGGTCACGCACGGTACTGCCCATCGCTGACGTATCCTTGTTTGGCCCACAAGGTGTTCTAATAAGTTGTCAAAACTAGATTCATCCTGGGTATGAGTCCATCCTGTAGATTAGATGTCATCTGGACTTTAGCTTTTCCATTGTCCAATGTGGGAGTCCTGTGGAGATTTTAATTCATCAGGGGCCCTTTGTCCCCACAAGTCTGATAGTCAGATGGAAGTCACAAGCATCTCCAACATAACTCCTCTCCTCTTAGATCAGTTACACTGAATTTCCATTTGACAATCTTCTGTACCAATTCCCACTGTACAGTAAGTACTTCTGCCTCCATCTCCCCAGGAGTCTTCCCCAGTGAGTGAGACTCCCCTCTGTGGCCTTGGTGTATTCTTTGCTTTTGTTGTGTTTGGTCTGGTTTGGTTTGCATGTTATGAGACAAGTTCTGCTGAAGCCAAGGCTGGGCTGAAACTCATTATGTAGCTGAGGTTGACCTTGCAGTCCTGATCCTCCTGCCTCCTATTCCTAAGTGCTGAATTGCAGGGACAGTCTACCACACACAATTTATGTGGTGCTGGGGATGGAGCCTAGAGCTCTGTGCATTAGAAGCAGCTGCATCTCCAGCACCCTTGGTGGGTTTTAATAGGAAGAATGCTCACATCCACCCCTTCAGAGCAGCTGTACCCGCAGTCTGTGCCTCCTCTACCAATGCCCCAGGGGCCTGAGATCTGTCCTCCCTGCACAGTGGGAACTGTACAGAGAGGGCATGGCCATGACAAACTGCTAAGGGAGGCAGGAGAGGATGGTTGCTCCTCAGCCAGCATCTCCCAGTCCCTCTTCTCCCCTATGCCCTAGATCCGTCACCAACTCCACCAATATCATCAGCCCCAGGGGAGGCTCTGGGGGCCCTAGATGGAGCAAACCCATATTCACTGGGCAGAACATGTCGCTCAAAGGCTAAGGTTTGCACACAGAGGGAGAACACGGGATCAATCCCTACATGGGTGAATTTGGGAGAGGCAGTTGCCTGTTTTTGGCCTCGAGAGTAGATCTGGGTGCTGAGTGGCTGGTCTTCAAGGCTGAAGGGCCTGACAGTGCTGGGTGTGAAGCTCCTCCTCCCAAGGCAGCCACTGTCCTGGCCTCACCCCTGCTTCGGGTGGGGCTTCCTCCAGGCCTTGCACCTCTTAGTTCCTCAGAGAAGAGCCCAGAGAGACAGACTTCTGGTGGCCCAGCTGGACATGCTGCTGCTGTTGCTGCTGCTCTGGGGCGTGAAGGGGGTAGAGGGTGGAGATGACGCCCTGAAGGGTTACACTCTGAGTGTGAAAACGAAGATAGTGGTGCAAGAAGGCCTGTGTGTCCTGATACCCTGTAAGTTCTCCTACCCCAAGGAGAAATGGACTGACTCAGACCCCATTCATGGATACTGGTTCTGGGATGGAGGAAAGAAAGAGCTTGATTCTCCAGTGGCCACAAATAACCCACAGCGGCTAGTACTGAAGGAGACCCAGGGCCGATTCTCCCTGCTGGGACACCCAGGGAGGAATGACTGCTCCCTGGACATCAAAGAGACCAGGAAGGAGGATGTCGGGTCTTACTTCTTTCGCCTGGAGAGAGGACAAGCGAAGTTTAATTATCTTCGGAACAAGATGACTCTGCATGTGACAGGTCAGGCATGACTTGCAGAGAAGCCATCATGGGTGCCACAGGGCAGGCTTGGGATAGCTGGGTCTGAGCATCAGGGCTCAGGGGAGGAGCTGGGTCAGAGCCGGGCTTGCCTCCAATTCTCCCCTCTCCTCTCCAGCCTTCACTGAAACCCCCCGCATCATTATCCCGAAGACCCTGGAGGCGGGCCGTCCCAGCAACCTGACCTGCTCTGCGCCTTGGGCCTGTGGGTCCCCCACCTTCTCCTGGACTGGTGCCTCTGTGTCAGTCTTGAGCACCAACACCACTGGTTCCTCAGTGCTGACTGTCATCCCCCAGCCCTGGGACCATGACACCAACCTCACTTGTCAGGTGACCCTGCCTGGATCTGGCGTGACCACAAGAATGACCATCCGTCTCAACGTGTTATGTGAGGCTGGGCTGGGTTGTTGCCCTTTTTTAAAAGTGGTCCCCAGGGTGGGCTCAGGGTCCTGACACTGGGTCCTAAAATCCTGATAAGGGGGCTTGTCAGGATGATAGCCCCCTGCCATACCCACCTAGACAGCTGCTGGGGTCCGAGGGAGGCTGATGTGTCCACTGTGTCATTCTCTCTTAGATGCTCCAAGGAATCTGACTGTCACTGTCTATCAAGGAGCTAACACAGGTAGGAGATGCTGTACCTCTTCGGCTCAGGGTAGGAATCATTCTTCCTCACACGGCACTCACCTGGAGACGAGGCTCCTTGTCAGGGAACCACTGGACCATCCCCTCTGAACCACCAGCCTATCCACCCCTACTCCTCCAGACCTGCACATGTCCCTAGATCACCATAGGCACAGGGTGACATGCACACAGAAGAACCACACTGTCCAGGACCTTGTCCCCACTTATGGATCTGCCTACATATCCCCAAAGCTGTGCTCTGGGTTTTGGTGCAGAGACGTGGTCAGGCACTCGGAACACACACAGAGCTCTGTTCTCAGAAGCTCAGTCTCCACACTGCAAGTGACCAGTGTCCTGCCCACATAGGCTGGCTGAGCCTGGGCTTGCCCCCCTGAGGTCCTGAGAGGAACCAGGTTTCAGTAGCAGAGATTATCTTTGGTTTTCATGACCCCAGTAGCCAGCACAGACAAACCCAATTCTTGGGTTTCTTTTTGTTATTGTTGTTTTCTTAGACAGGGTTTCTCTGTGGCTTTGGAGCCTGTCCTGGAACTAGCTCTTGTAGACCAGGCTGGTCTGGAACTCACAGACATCCGCCTGCCTCTGCCTCCTGAGTGCTGGGATTGAAGGCGTGCTCTGCCACCACCAGCTGGTAATTCGTGGGTTTCTAATGCCAATGGGCAGCAAAGGCAGGGAGTTCATTCTGCCACCGGCAACGAACAGTGAATAGGTATTGTATCTGTGACCACAAGTGTGTGTCTCTGAGTAATAAACTAAATGCAGGACATGTGGCTCAATTAATGGAATTAAAAAAACAAAACAAAATAAAACAACAACAACAAAACCCAAACTTGTCAAGCATGCCTAAAGCCCTGGCTGGGTGCCATCCCCAGGACCACATAAGCTGGGTGTGATGGAACACACCTGCACTTGGGAGGTGGAGGCAGGAGGGTCAGCTGTTCAAAGTCATTCTTGCTACATTGCTACATCATGAGTTGGTGGCCAGTCTGACTTCAATTCTCTCTCTCTCCTCTCTCTCTCTCTCTCTCTCTCTCTCTCTCTCTCTCTCTCTCTCTCTCTCTCTCTCTCTCTCTCTCTCTCTCCTCCCCAGTTTGTCTGTCTTCATAATTAACTCTAAATATATATGTGGCTCACATGTTCTCTCTAATTTTAAGGCCTACAGTCAAGTAGCTCACACTGAAATAAGTTTAGCTTGTTGCTGTGCTGGCAGCTAAAAGGCTGGGTTTTCCTACCCTTTGCTCCCTATTGGTGTATCAGCACCCCATTCTCACTGGGTTCCAGTGTCCCTTCTCTTAATCTCATCACACTGGCTCTCTCTCTCTCTACAGAATGCATAACCCTGCAGAACGGCTCATTTCTTCAGGTCTCTGAGGGCCAGTCTCTAGGCCTCTTATGTAGCACTGAAAGCAATCCCCCTGCAACCCTGAACTGGACCTGGAATAACCGGAATCTGTCCTCAAAGCTGTCCAAACCTGGGATCCTCGAGCTATTTCTCGTGGATCTTAAGCATGAAGTAATATACACCTGCCAGGCTCAGAATGCCCTGGGCTCCCAACACATTTCCCTGAGACTGTATCCACTGCGTAAGTGACCTGTGGGCCAAAGGTAGGCGGGAGGGCAACCCCTGGCCCATCCTTGCAGTGTTCCCATTTGTCACAGGGCGCGAGGCTCCAGCTTGTACTGAGCTGTGAGGCCTGTAAATACCCAGAGTCTCACCATCTAATTCCTGCAAAAAGGAGGACATGTGGGTCAGAGAGGGGGTCATCCCAGGAAGCAGCAAATCCTGAGGAGAGGGACAGGGACTTAGACGGGTGAGCTCTGTACACAAGGTCCTTGCCTCTGCAGGCCAGAAGGAAGGGGAATTTTCCAAGAGCATAAAATTCAAGAGAAAGGTGGACCAAACAAAACAATATGAAAACAAATGGACAACAACTCCGTAGTCAAGCCTGTGTGGTGGTCCAGGCCCCAGTCCCTCACTGGGGGGATTCTAGGCAGGGTTCTATTGCTGAGCCACACCCCAACCCCTCACTGGGGAATCTAGGTAGGGCTCTACCATTGAGCCACACTGCCAGCCACTCACTGGGGTATTCTAGGCAGGTACTCAACAGCTGACCTGTATCCCCAGCCCTCTTTTTAAGTTCTATTTTGAGATAGGGTTTCACCAAGTTTCCCAGGCAGTCATTGAACTCAGTCTATAGCCCAAATACCCCTTGAACTTGAGATGCTCCTGCCTCAGCCTCGGAGACAGCTGAAATGACAGGCATTCTTCATTACATCTGGCTGTGATGATATTTTCCTTTGCCTGTTTGTGAATCTGGGGTTGGAAACCGGGCCCTAACATGTACCGAGATACATTTAATGATCCCATTAAAAATGCAAACTTTATCCTATGCTGAATAAGATACCAAACTAAATGAGGTCAAACTGCCGCCTAGCTTTTTAATGCCCCCTCTGACATCTTTGGTCCTTCCATCTATCCCTTCCACCCAAGTCCCTATTCTGGCTATCTGAGGGGGAAGGGCGTGAGACAGGCAGAAGGTCCAGCTTCCTGAAGGGGCTAGGGTAGGAGAGGAGGGGCGTTTTCTTAGTGTTCTCTCTCTGCAGGCAGCACAACTTCATCTGGAATGACTGTGGGGGCCTTTGTGGGCGCAGGCACCACAACTCTCCTCTTCCTCTTTTGCTGCATTGTCCTCCTGGCGTGAGTACCATTGTCGGTGGGGATGACAACCTGGGGTGATGAGGAACAAGCCTAATACCTGACCCTGAGCCCAGGCCTGGAGGAGGGACCTGGGTGGGTGGGGCACCTGAGGTTGGGGGAGATTTGTCTAGGCATATGGTCAGTGTGTGGGACTCTGGAGTGTTGCAACCCTCAGGCCCCATTGTCCCAGATGGTGGGAGCCACCTTTCAGCAGAGGAGCCTTTGGGACAAGACTACAGCCACCTTACCACCCTACAGAGGCTTAATTGCAAGTGTGTGTTTTGGGGGGGATGCCAGCCCTACCTCCTCCTGCTCACACTGAGAGGCTCCCCCCATTGTCTTTGTACCCAGGGTAAGATACTATAGGAGGAGACCAGCCAGGCCAGCTGTGGAAGCTCCAGATTCAAATGCCCTCAAGGGCTCAGTTTCTCAGGTGGGTGAGCAGTGTGCATGTGTTCAAACCCAGCATCCTCCTGCCTGGACACCACCCCTGAGATGGAGCTCAGGTTTTTTTTGCTGAGTGTTCTCCAAGTTGGGTGTCCTGCAAGCAGCCCTCTCTAATCCATTCCCCAACTTGATAATTGCAGGCAGTGTCCTCCAGGGCACTTGCTCTCTGGTTGGGCAGGGAAGAAGACTCTGCTTACCTTTCTCCTTTTCTTCTGTTCTGCCTCAAGTTATGGGTTCTCATCCAGTCTCCCCTGTCAAGGCACCAAGCTACAGGACTTCTGACTACTGCCATGACTCTGTGTGTGTGTGTGTGTGTGTGTGTGTGTGTGTGTGTGTGTGTGTGTGTGTGTAAGAGAGAGAGAGACTACTTGGGAGCGTGTGTCTGTCTGCCTGTCTGTCTCTCTGTCACTCCCTCTCTCTCTTTCTCCCTCCCTCTTCCTTTCTCTTTTCCCCTTTCCTTCCTCTATGCTCCCTCCCCCATGTCCCCCTACCCCTTAGACTTTCTCTGAGTCTCTCCTCCCTTCCCTCTTTTTCTTTCTTCCCCCTCCTTCCATCTGTCTCTCCATCTTTCTCTCTGGGTCCCTCTTCCTCTTCTTCCTTACATCCTTTCCTCCCTCTCCCACTTCTTCTTCTCTCTCTCTCTCTCTCTCTCTCTCTCTCTCTCTCTCTCTCTCTCCATCTTCCCTTTTAACTCTCCCTCTCTCTGTGTGCCTCTCTCTGTCTCTCGGTCTCAGTGGGTCCCTTTTCCTCTTCCTCCTCCCTCTTCCCTTACCCTTGGCCTCCTTTGCCTGCTACCATGAACAAGTTATGAGCTTTATCCACTTTCTCTGCATTTGAATATCTGCTTCCTGACCCTACTGGGTCAGGGTTTAAATGAGTTAGTTCTCCAGACCCAAGATAAATGACAAATAGGTGTGCATTAGGGAAGGACTTACACAGAGTAAATAGCCACCCCCAGTCTTCCTGATTCAAAAGATACAGTCTTTGCTCTTCTGATGCTCTCTACAACCCAAGAGAGCCAGAGCCAGCCCCTCCTCTACCACCTGAAATCATGCCCACACCTGAAACCATGCCCAAAGGGTGTAGCCACCACTACAAGTTCACTGGCAAGGTAAGATGCCACTACACTGAATATAGTAACATCTCCCAAAGTTCTTATGAAGGATGGGCTCACTCTGTAGCTGCTCAGCTTTGCTGTTGGAACACACACACACACACACACACACACACACACACACACACACACACAAAAACACCATAGGCCATATGTAATAGATGAGTATGGCTGTGTGCTAATAAAGCTTTATTTGTAAAACTGAACAGTGGGCTGGATTTGACTCAAGGGCTGCTTTAGAACATAAAAGCCCAAACTCCTCAACCTCACATGGGGAGATGGGAAGGATGCTAATTTTAAGATGGTGCTGAAGTGTCAGTCATTGAGGTCGTGTGTGTGTGCGTGTGTGTGTGTAGGAGTGTGCACGCATATGGATGCACATACAAGAGGAGGCTTGAGGTTGATGTTAACAGTCATTGTTACTGGCTCTTCCACCTTGTCATTGAGGCAATGCCACTAGTTTACTAGCCAGCTTGCTGTAGGAGCCTCTACCTCTGCCTCCTAAAGTTATAATTACAGGTGGGCCACCACACCCACTTGGTATTTGTGCCATTTCTGGGGATCCAAACTCTGGCTCTCATGTTTACTCAGCACTGCTTTACCTCTGAGGTATTGCTCTGGGTCCCATCCTTTCATCCGTTTGTGGAATATTGAGTACTTACGAAGAAGCCAGAAGACTGGGTATCAGCAACCCATCTTTGAAGATCCTTAGAGAACTTAGGGCTTGGTCATCTTTTATTCTAGACAAGTGGTTGTCAAACCACTCAAACAACAAAGAGCATTATATGAATATGATGTAAAAGAGACATTTATTGCTGGGAAGATAGGCTGTGTGGTTAGTTGTGTACCATCTGTCTGTCTGTCTATCTTCTATCCCTATCTATCTTCTATCTATCCATCTATCATCACCTATTTATCTATCATCTGTCTGTCTATTTATCTGTCCATCTATCATTTGTCTGTCTATCATCTGTGCTTTAGATTTTGGCAACCCCTTGTGACATAAAATTCACTGTTGTTGTCCTTTTCCACATGTACAGTTGTGTAACAGATGCCTAGGACTTTTTCATCTTGAAAAACTAAAACTACATACTGAGCAACATCTTCCATTGGCTCCCCATGCTTCCCTCCCCAAGCCCCTAGCATCTACCACCTCTCTCTCTCTCTCTCTCTCTCTCTCTCTCTCTCTCTGTGTGTGTGTGTGTGTGTGTGTGTGTATGTGTTGTCTGTGTGTGTGTTTGTGTCTGTGTGTGTCTATGTGTATGTGTGTGTCTGTGTGTGTGTATCTGTGTGTGTCTCTGTGTGTGTGTTTGTGTGTGTCTATGTGTGTCTATGTGTGTGTGTGTTTGTGTGTGTGTGTGTGTGTGGATGTGGGTGTGTGTATCTGTGTGTGTCTCTGTGTATGTGTGTGTCTGTGTGTGTGTATCTGTGTGTGTCTCTCTGTGTGTGTCTATGTGTGTCTATGTGTGTGTGTGTGTCTGTGTGTGTGTGTATGTGGGTGTGTGTATCTGTGTGTGTGTCTCTGTGTGTCTCTCTGTGTGTGTTTGTGTGTGTCTGTGTGTGTCTGCATGTGTGTATGTGAGAGTGTGTGTGTGTGCGTGTGTGTGCTTGTGTGTGGTGTGTGTGTGTGTCTTCTGCAGATGCCTCCGGTGTGGGGTCACGCTGTATTTCTCCTTTTGTCACTGGCTTTCTTCATTTAACACATGTACTCAAGATTCCTCACGTTGTAGCATATTACATGTTTCCTAACCTTTCTAGAAGGTTGGTAATATGTGTATGTACCACAGTTTCTTTAGCCAACTTCTGAGTGTCTTCTACCTGTTAATATTGTGAGGTGCACACTCACAGATGTGAGAGGCCAAGACTGTGTGTTCAATACAACACACTTTACATCTTCACCAGAAATACACAAGCAGTCCCATTTCTCCACATGTTCAGCAACACTGGAGATATTGTTTTCTTTTGTATTATTTTCATAGTGGATTTCCTGATGAGTGTGAGGTGTTATTTCTTTGTGGATTAAATGCGTGTTTTCTAATGATAACAGTGAATATTTCTCTTCTGTATATCTTTCTGGAGAAATCTCCATTCCAGGTCTTTGTCTGTTTTTCTGGATGAGTTGTTTGCTGTTGAGAAATTACAGGTATTCTTTCTCTGCTCTGGCTCTCAGTCTTTACCTGAGGCATGGCTTTTAAATATTTTCAGTAGGTTGAATGTGCTTTTGGTGAGTGGTGAGGGAGACTGGATTCTTCCATTTGATTACTCCAGGTAGAGGGAGGAGCAGGCACCAATTCTCAAGAGTCAGCCAGCAAGTGGATAAGCAGCCACAAGGGCTGTGTAAAGGGACAAGGGAAGCATGGGCCACCACAGGAAGTAAGTTTGCAGAACTTGAGTGTGTAAATCATTTCCGAACAAATGAACCACTAAGAGCGAGTACAAGAAGGAACAATCTAACTGTAACCTCCATGGAGAAGGAACAATCTAACTAATTTCTAGAAGCAACAATCTAACTTCTGTGGACACCTCTGGATGCAACAGGCAGGAAAAAAACTTTAGCAAGGGAAACACAGAGGCACAGGCGTCAGAAAGGAGGCTGGAGATGATGTGGA